CACCTAGGGTCAGGGTCAAATAGTAATAATGCATTATATTATTTTTTTATATATTGTAATTTTTTTGTGGATACTTCTTGCTCGCCTTGGAGGCAAAGGAGCGAGCCCATGACTTAGCCATGACTCTCCCAGTGTGATAATTTTTTATATTTCAACTCAAGACTTTAATTAAGATTCAAGAAACTTTAATTACTCCATCTAAACCAACGTTGATGAAAATAAAATTGCATTGAAAATAAATTATTAATATATATATATAATAGATATATTTAAATTATAAAAATTAATTACTTTTGTATATATATATATATATATATTAAATTATAAAAATTAATACTTTTTAATTTGTAAATGATAAATTTTAATAATAAGTTTTATTTTGATATTTGTAAAGAGATAATAGTCTTAATTTTAAAATAATAAAAAAGACAAAAAGGAAAAAAATTCCATTTAGGGCATCTCAAAAGGGTAAAAGAAGATAAGGGAAGGTGGGCCTTCATGTACATGCAATTTGAAGGAGACAAGGAAGCAGCATTGTTCCTTTTTTTTCTCTCTCTCTCTCTCTTTAATATCACTTTTAAGTAGTTCTTTATACACTTGATTCTATTTTTTAATTAAAAATCACATTTTTAAATCGAAAATAACTTTTTTCCCCCAAAGATGATGGGGGTATAATACTATTATAATGCTCTAATTGAAACAAATTTGCAAGCTCAACAAAGATTACAAAATACAAATACTAAGCCCATTTTAAAAAGTCTATTTGAAGCAAACTTGTAAATGGGAATTGATTTGTGCAATTTTTTCGATGAAAAGTTTGATAAGCCAAAATAATATTATAGGTTAAATAATAGAGATAATTTTCTTCTTGACTTATCAAAGTGATGAGAATTTTTTAGCCGGTAGAACTTCAATTCAAAAACACTTACTCGGTAATATTAACGAGATGATCAATTAAACTATATTTGATACGTAATTACTTATGAAATTTACATCAGTGGATTAACATAATCTAAAGAAACAAAGATTGTCTAAAAAGAGAAATTGGCATGCCTATATAGGGCTATTCTTCCAAGTTGGTAACTTATATGCCTTCAAGAAAAGGTAATTAAAGCATTTATATTGGTCTTAGTTTAATCTTGATATAGAAAGTAATTAAAAAAAATACATAGTGCTGGGAAAAAAAAACCTCTACATCACAAATAAGGTGATAAGTTTCAAGAAAAAATTTTGCAATATCTCCATATTAATCAAAGCTCTGAGAATTTGTTAATAGGTAGAATGCATAAGTTCATCATTAAATTTTGTAATTTTAACTCTGTGCAATTTTAAATTTTATGAATTATTTATCATGTACTCGTATCTTTAAATGGTGATATCGCACACTTTATTCTAACGGCGATAATTTTCCGAGAAAATTATATTGGTAAATTTATGTATTTGATCTTTTATTTTTATTCCTCCAAAGCTTAGAGTCTAGTTTGGTCCTTCATAATAGAAACGCAGCCATGATTATGACCCTGGCTTGATTTTAAATTAAAACCAAATTGAATCAAATCGGTGCTATAATGTAATCAACGGTTTTCGATTTTAAAAATTGTAGCTAAAATCATTAAAATATAAAATTAAAAACCTAAAAAAATTATATAATTTTGATTTAGAATTAAAACCGAATTGACTATTCTAAAACTATCTTAAAAACTGTTTAATAACAGATTGACTCCGATTCCGCTCTTTTTAGAACCAGAATAAGACAGTTTTGAACTAAGACAACCTATTCAATTTTGTTATAAGCAGTTTTTACGTATTATTATATTAAATTCACTTTTCCAATTCAGTCGAAAACAAATTATCCATGTTGAGACAAAAGGATTCATAAATGATAAAAAAATCCTCATTCCAATCTTGAAATTTGTTTAATTATTAATTTTAATATTTCAAAAATGAAATAATTTAAACATTTATTAATAATTGATTATAACTTAATTATCTACATCATACTTTTACTCCCACCGGTCCACTTTAATAATAACATTTGATTTTTTCAAAAAAACTAAGAAAATGATTGAAACACGTCAATTTTCTAAAATGTACAGTAAAATGTCTAAATTGCCTTTTTTTTTTAAATTAAAAATTTCCTATTTAATTTTACACAAAAATGTTAATTTTATTTCATATTAAAGCATCACCATTAGACAATACTTGCAATTCATTTTTTTCATGCTTTTTATATAATAAAAAATTTCTACTTACGTGTTTTTAGTCAAAATTTTACTTTAACTACAATTAAAGTAATAATAGAAAAGACCGCGAGGGATGAGATGAGATGGTAAAGATCCATTCTCCCTTTACCAAATGTCTTGAGTTTGAACTAGTTTCGAATACCGAACGATTAAAATAACCAACATTGTGATTATATACTAAAGAAAAAAATAATAATAGAAAACAGAAAAATGAATGTAAGCATAAAAATAAATAAAAAAAGTATTTTCAATATATTCTCAAAATCCTAAATAATTATGTAAAGTGGAACAAGTAGAGTATATTTTTCTAAATTGAACGATGTGTAGAATTTAATTGTGAATACCTATTTTTTTACACCCTCAAATTATTTCATCTAAAGTGGAACAAACGGAATATGTTTTTCTAAACCGAACTATGTAGAATTTAATTGCAAACACGTACTTTTACACCCTCAAATTATTAGAAAATAATTATAAAAACAGGAGCTTGAATCCACAAGAATTATTACTTTCAAAATTCTAAATAAACATATACTCAAGGAATTTAATTGCATTATTTTGGCATTAATACAAGAGCAATGTAGCGAAAAAGGAAAAAGATATTTTGAGAAAGAAAAGAAAAATGAGGATAAGGATGAAGGATCAATGAAATGTGAAAATTATAATATTAAAAATATTATCCATAAATCAAAGAATAAAAAAAAAAAAAAAAATTATCTTTTCAATAAGATTGCAATGGGAGAGATTTGAAGATCCTTCACAAAAAGGAAAGGCTTTTAATAGTTAAATTGATGATGTTGGCTGAAGTGGAAAGCACTACTTCCCACGTCATCTATCTCCCTTTAACGTAATCTCCTACTCTTTTCAGTTAATCTCTTTATTGTCCTGTTTACCTTTTCTTTTTTACTGTAGAATTACCATATTGACCTCCCTCTTGTCTACTTATGCCCTTTTGATGTGATTAAATATAAAAAATAATGGAACAATGACAAAATAATATTGTTTCAAAAAATATTTATCGGTGCCTTCAAAAAAAAAAAAAAAACCCAAAAAATATCTTATCGGATGCCTTCAAAAAAAAAAAAAAAAATATCTGATGTTAAATTGAAGTTACTTTACAAATTTGAATTTATATTAGTCGTGGAGAGAGGAATGGTTTCTACGAAAATTATAATTATCAATAGATGAATTTTAATATAAAACAGAAAAAAAAAAAAAAAAAAACCTATCTGATGTTAAAATGAAGTTATTTACAAATTTAATTTTTATATTGTCGTGGAGAGAGAATGTTCTACGAAAATAATAATATCAATAGATGATTTTAATATAAAACAAAAAAACTATAAAACTATCCAATAGCCCATAGAAAATAATTAAAAGAATAAATAATAATTTTTATTTTATAAAAATTATTATTTATAAAAAATATCTAAAAAATATGAAAAAATAAATATCTAAAAATATGAATTGATTTTATTCAATAAAATAAATATCTAAAAAAAATGAAAATATGCATAAATATCAAAAAAAAAAAAAATCAATGGCTTTAAACCAAGACATGAATTGATTTTAGTGAAAACATGAAATGTAAATACCAATAAGTAAAAAATACGCAAAAGAATAGTATTTTATTAAGAAGCAACTAGATGAAGTAGTAATTTTAATATAAAAATAATATGTAAAATAGGTGTCGAAACACAAAAGTCATCCGATAGCTTAAGTGCATAAATGTTTCAAATTAAGTGAACCGAATATAAGGATTCTAGTAAACTGAGTACAAGTATCCCAACACTCCAACAACAGATTCATCAAATATTTTCTAGCTCGGAATGATTTGCGAATATAGTTCAAGCTTATTGCATGAATGTTGATATAAATGTTGATATGATTAGCATATGAATAAATAAAATTGTGTATGTTCAAAGATTCATTACAAATTAATCAAAATTTGACAATTTGACCTCAGTCTATGATCGACATTGTGTGCCTAAAATTCATTTCTTATTATTCAATTTTCAAAATAAAAACCAGTAATTGAGACGGCAAAAAATTAATTCATTTCATGGTAAATTTAAAAAATATTTTAAATTATTATCTATTGACTATTAGAAATGCTTTTTTTTTTTTTTTCCCCTTTCTATCATTGTTTTCCAAGTATGGTCTTCTTAGAGTAAGGAACTAAGTCTTGTAGAAAACGAAAGTCAACAGAAATGTAACCATCATAGAGAATTTGAACCAACGAAAAATCAGAGTACAAATTACTCTTAATTTTCTTCTTCCTTTTCTTTTTATGGAATAATTATTGTTTGAAAATAACAAATAATAATTAATAATGATTTTTGCTACTGTTTAACAAATAATATTTTAACAGAAATAAAATTAAAATATAAATCTTAATCTTTGAAAAATAATTTAATTAATTTTAAGAATAACTTAATATGTATTATTTAATTGTAATAAAAATGCTAATATATGGAAGCAAAAAATATAATTTATCTGTATTAATTAAATTTTCTCAATTTATGAATAAGTCTGGACAAAAATTATGTGAGAGGGATAAAAGAGATCATGCGAACAAATGAAGGGTGTTTCTGTCAATGACCAGGGCACAAGATTCCATTAAACAGCTTGTTTTTTACATTTTTAGTGGAGAAAATGTAGTTTTACCAGTATTTCTAAATAATTTATTTTTTTATTATTTCTTAAATTAGAAAACTAAATAATATTATATTAATACTTCGTCTGTGCTACTCTTTCTTTAACACTCAAGAGACTCTACCTCTTCTCTGTCTCTATCTCTGTCTCTGTCTCTGTCTGCCTCGAGAGGCTCAGGTGGCAGTGAAACATCGAAAAATTGAGGATTCCTCAGAACAAGGTGGGTATGACAACCCGTTTGAGGGTGAAATTTTTATGAAAATTAAAGAAAAAGTGACGTTTTATTTGTTGTTTTCTCGCCTTGAAATTCTCTGCTTTAGATAGAATTATTTGGCATCTATCAAAAAGAAAGAAAGATGGGAGTTTTTGCGGAAATTTTTGTGCCTGAAAGTCAATTTCCATGGATTACACTGTAATGCAAAAAATGGGTTGGTGATGGATCTGTTAATGGTAGGCTTTTGCCTTTTTTTTTTTTTTTTCTTTAACAATTCTTTAAATTGTTGGTTAATAATGAATTTCTGTTTATGATTTAAATTTTGAAGTTGGGTTTTGCTTTGGTCTCAAATGTGAGTTGATTTGATAGTTGGTTGAGTCTTTTGTTTTTTATTATTTATGGTAATATTTGGTGTTTAATTGAAGAAATGAAATTGTGTAATTATGTTTTATTGTTTTTAACTCCGTTTTTATATTGTTTTTTAAACATTGTTTTTAGTCTTTATGGAGAGCAATTGTTTTCTTGAGATGAGTTTGTTTTTGCTGAGGAAAACTGTTTCTTATTTTAATAGGTTTAATACCATATCATAATAAAATAAGGGGAAAAAAAGAATTGAAAAGGAAAGTGAAGAGAATGATTCAATTCAATTGTATGTTTCTGTGCTTGTCTGGGAGCCTCTTGTAAAGTTCCGTGAGTTTTTGCATATCTATTTGCAGCAAATTGAAATAACAGAAGAATGAGAATATTTTAGGAGCAACTTGTGGTGTATGGAGGAGTCTATGATGTGTTATTTATGCACTTTCCTTGCAAGGGAGAAGAAAATTGAAAATTCTGTTTTCTAGGTTTTAACTGGTGGAAAGTTTCCCTATTATATAATATATTCTTTAATTTTATTTATCTACTCTTCTTGTTTAGCTAATATGAGTGCTTTGGCTCCTGGGCTAATGAACTCCCCCTAATAAAAAACATTAGTGTTCTTATCTCTCGACTAGAAATTTTTCTATGCATTATATATTTATACCATGGTAGCTGATTAGTGCAGAATTATTATGAGAATCTGAGCTAATAGTTTAACATGCGATTCCCTTTCTTGGTGATAGAAAATTATTTGACTGCGAATTATGCTGTCGCTGAATTGCCTGAGTTTTTGCTTCTCTTGTAATTTCTCATATTTTTGTTTTGTCAACTTATTGTTACCGATTTTGTCATTGCAGATTATGTTGGTCTGCTGCATTCTGCAAAATGGGTCTCATATGGAATTTTAAATTAACAATCTTGGTGCTGCTTATTTTAGTTTAACCAGTTCTGCTGTTGCTGTAAGGATCATATAGTTAATGTTTTATTTGTTTCCTGGAATCTCTGCCATGAAAACAAAAGCACACTAATTACATGCCACATTTTTGCTGTTAAGTTCAAGGCATTTGTGCTTGAAAAGATCAATTGGATTGTCCCTGTTGCTAAAATTGCACCAGGTAAACTGATTAGGAGTTTGATGCAAGCATCACAAAAACTCAGAAGCAGAGGCATGTCTAGCAGATTGTACTATCAGCCAATGCCAGAAATTGAGGCCTACTATATGCCTCAGTTCCCAACTTTAGACAAGCAACTATGCTATGGTGGCAGCAGCCAAGGAATCCATTCCTCCATTCTGAATTCCTGTGAACACAACTGCACGCAAGAGTCATCTTTGGCAAATGGCAGTTTTGCTGTGTATAACTCTCCATCAACTCTTAGTTTTTCACCAAATGGAAGCCCTGTATCACAGCAAGAGTCTCAGTCATATCCATCTGATCCGCACCACTCCCCTGACCATAACTATGGTTCGCCTATAAGTGGTTCGTGCATAACTGATGATGTGAATGACTTCAGGAACAAGTTGAGAGAATTAGAAACTGTAATGTTGGGACCTGATTCTGATATTATTGACAGCATTGAAAGTACATTTCAGAATGGGACAAGCATTGAGTCGCCAGAAATGGAAAGCTTGAGACAAATAGTGGAGGCAATTTCAAGAGGGGACCTGAAGCATGTACTTATTGCCTGTGCAAAAGCAGTGTCAGATAATGATCTTTTAATGGCACAGTGGTTGATGGATGAATTGCGGCAGATGGTGTCAGTTTCTGGCGAACCAATTCAACGATTGGGAGCATACATGTTGGAAGGGCTTGTTGCCCGGCTGGCCTCCTCAGGGAGCTCCATCTATAGAGCTTTGAAATGCAAAGAACCAGCCTGCGATGATCTGCTTTCTTACATGCACATTCTTTATGAGGTGTGCCCTTATTTCAAGTTTGGGTACATGTCTGCCAATGGCGCCATTGCAGAAGCTATGAAAGATGAAAACAGGGTTCACATCATTGATTTCCAAATTGGTCAGGGGAGCCAGTGGATCACTTTAATCCAAGCTTTTGCTGCTAGACCTGGTGGCCCACCGCACATCCGTATTACTGGCATTGATGATTCTACATCAGCATATGCCCGTGGAGGAGGACTGAATATTGTGGGAAAGAGGCTGTCGAAGCTTGCAGAGTTGGTTAAGGTGCCATTTGAATTCCATGCTGCTGCCATGTCTGGTTGTGAGGTTCAAGTAGAGAACCTTGGTGTTCGGCCAGGGGAGGCTCTAGCTGTGAATTTTGCATTTGTGCTTCACCACATGCCTGATGAAAGTGTCAGCACCAAGAACCATAGGGACCGGCTATTGAGGCTGGTTAAGAGCCTGTCTCCAAAAGTGGTGACCCTTGTTGAGCAGGAATCTAACACAAATACTGCTGCATTCTTCCCTCGGTTCCTTGAGACATTAGATTATTATATGGCTATGTTTGAATCAATTGATGTAACGCTCCCAAGAGAGCATAAGGAGAGGATCAATGTTGAGCAGCACTGCCTGGCAAGGGATGTTGTTAACATAATAGCATGTGAAGAAACTGAGAGAGTGGAACGACATGAACTTCTTGGGAAGTGGCGGTCACGGTTCAGAATGGCAGGTTTTGCTCCTTACCCTTTAAGCTCCTTGGTAAATGCCACCATTAAAACTCTTCTAGAGAATTATTGTGATAAATATAGGCTTCAAGAGAGAGATGGAGCTCTATATCTTGGTTGGATGAACAGAGATTTGGTGGCATCTTGTGCATGGAAATGAAAGCCGAGTATAATTTACTCTTACTTCAGCATGTGTGCAGCCAGCTGAGGCAGAACTTTTAGTACTTCAATATTTTCTTTTTCACCCTTTTTGCTCTTTGAGGGATTTTAGGAGGTAGGTGTTGGCCTCATCTGTGTAATTTTCTTCTAAAGTATGGAAAATTGACCATTTTTTTTTCTGAGACCGACATTTCAATGCAACCTGTTGCCTTTTTTTCTTTTTTCTTTTTTCTTTTTTTTCTGAATGGGTATTAATTTGACTCAAATTGAACGCCACAATATGGAGATAACTCCAGTACCGCAGAAGCAAAGTTCCCGAATATATTTTGTCTGGCCTAAAGAGAAACCAAGTTGGTGGTTTTGCATGGTCAGGATATATTCACATTCTTGAAGAATAGGTGCTAGATTCCAAAATTTCATCCTCTGGCAATTAATCCCGTTGTATTTTTCCTTTGAACTCCTTTTTTTTTTTTTTAATTCACAACACTGCAGACTATACTAAAGGGGTAACCCTCATTGTATTTTTCCTTAAAAATTTTTTCCTTTGAACTCCTTTTTTTTTTTTTTAATTCACAACACTGCAGACTATACTAAAGGGGTAACCCTCATTGTATTTTTCCTTAAAAATCTTTTTTAATTTATAATATTGCAGATTACACAATAGGGATAGTTTAATTTATAATATTGCAGATTACACAATAGGGATAACCCCTTGGCTCATCTCATTAAATTGATGAAAACAACCGGTTAAAAGAATTGGAACTCGTAGTCGAAAGGACTTAAACTCAAAACCCCCACTCCTCGCATAATCTTTCAAAATCCTTTGGTAATAATTTTACTAATTACTATCATTATTTTCGACAAGTCTAACACACTTGGCCTATAATCAGTTAAATTTTATGGGTATTTAGTATCACAACCAAACCCTAACAAACGGAAAGCCGCAAAGAATATAAATTTCCTTCAGTAGATTAACAGGTGCGACTCAACAAGAGCAAATAAACAAAAGAGGTACAAATATGTCAAAAATGAAGTTTGTTATATATTAGATATCTCTGATACCCTATACATCTGTGAGGATTATTTGATCTATTGTAATAATTTACATAGCTGAATTAAGTTCTCCCATCTCCTAAAAATCAAACTGTTGCAATTAACTTTGGACAGGCTCTGCATTAGGTAAATGTTGCTCGCTTGGATTATTCTCTGGACCAGGAGTAATGGCATGAACACTGTAAGCAGCACAATTTACTTTCGATTCAGTTTTCGATTCACCATCACGTTTTTCATTTGATCTGCCCTCAGGAACTGTATCCTTGACAACGGAATCAGTTCCTTTTGTATCACTTGACTTGCCATTCTGCAGCTTATTTGATTTCCTGGCGTGACCTGAGCTCGAATGGGCGACCATATCGGAGCCACTAACATTCAGTTGTCCGTTCAAGTTTCCATTGGGTCCTGAACTATTATGAACAAACCCATCGCTTTCTCCTGATTTAGCGCCTGACTCACCACCGTGGATCGCGGTTGTATAAATGTCCAGAGCAGTTGCATTATGAGTTACTGTCCTTGAAGGAGGCATGTTATGATCGTGCTGTCCCTCATAACTCGTTATAACCACTTTCGGGTCATGAGATGCTCTCTCTACGTGTTTCTTAACTGGGCATCCTGGACTTGAGCACCTATAGTAGCTCCTGCAACGATAGAAGGGCAGAACAAAGGTAAGAGTAATGCCCAAAGGCAATAAGATGTCAAATAAGGTACTGATTTTTCTGCATGGAATCACCAAGGAGCTACAATAAGAATCCAGTTAACTACAAAGTGGTTCTTGCTCTGGTTTTAGAGAAGCCCTGAAAAGCCAGAGAACTTCTGAGTATGTAATTAGTATAAGGAAACTTCTTTGGAATTGTATCCGTAAGAAATGAGAAAAAGGGTAAATGCAGGTGTAAACTAAATGCAAGCTCTGAATCAACTATATAATTAGTCCTAATAATTATACAATATTTTCAATGGATTCAAAACTTATTTTGTTTAATCAAGCCCTGATACATTTAATTAAAAAAAAAAAAAAAACTAGTACAAAGTAATTCAAACTGTTTTGAGTGGAATAACTAGTTCCAGGTACATGCTGCATATTGGTACTTTTCCACATGGAACTAGTTAACAAAATTCTATCCGCTTAATGATGACTTGATTAATTGATAAAGCATCAAATTTAATTGAAGAATACTACAAATTCTCAAGACTTCTAATGTAACTGATTTGCCAAGTGCCTAACCCAGTGTATGATCATAAAAGTTAGATAAATGATATTTACCTTGGATTTGGATTGCCTTTAACCAATTTCTGCCCATATTTTCGCCAACGGTACCCGTCATTCACAATATCTACCTCACTTAAAGTTTGAACAACAAGCCGCGGTTCGTTTGTTAGCTTATCTAAAGAAGTAGGTTCAACACTACGGTTACCTTTCTTCCTGTTTTATTGGTGTACAGCAGAACAGAATTAGCTCACAAATATTCTGGTAAAGTAAAAAATTATACATAATTACTTCATTAACGTACTGTCGTTTTGAGTGTGGTTCATCATCAATATCAACCTCATCTTGTATCTTGTTTGATTCTGATGGCACACCCTTAACATCATCACTTGATGTAGCAACTGAAATCCGAGAGGTGCTCTTTGACTTCAATAGATGTGATGCACGATCTTCTGCATTTTATTATTTTTATTTTGGATAAGAGATTAAAATACACCACTTACTAATAAAGAGCCAAAACTATATATCAATGGTTTTTCCCCTTACCTTCAGTGCCAGTTGATAATGGCTTATCAGCTTTTTCATCAACAACAGATAACACAAAGCCAACAGCAAGTGGGGGATTAAGTTCAGGTTTAGGATGATCATGCTGACCAAAGTAGACAATATCTGCAATTTGGCCATCATGTGAACGCTCCAACTGCTTCTTCACTTGACAGTTTGGATGTGTACATTTGTAATAGCTCCGTATGAATTCATTTCCCTTAACAAGTTTCTGCCCATATTTTCGCCAATGATATCCATCCTCTAAAACTTTTTCACGTATAATAGGAGTTTTTCCTTCCTGACCAGATCGCAAGGCACTGGAACTAGTGGCAGCTGTCTGTGGGACTTTATGTGGTATTATAGAAGAGATACTTCCTTCTTTATCTAACTGTGATATATGGATTCCAGCATTGTGATCCTGCTGAGATTTCTCAGGGGTAACAGTAGTAGCTTCTTCTTGATTTTCTGACTTGTGAATTCCACTACCATCAATCTGTTGTACAGTGTGACTTTTATCTGGGTGCAGTCTTTTTTCTGATTCGTCAGACGCAAATTTATCCAGATCTTCCCCTGAAGAAACCATGTGAACTTTCAAAGTTGTAGCAGAAACACAAAGAGATCAACTCAAGGTGCAGTTACTGCAATTGATCACAAACTTGAACTAATGTTACATGCTGCTGATCATCCATACCTGAAAAAGCATGCAATAAGTTAAACTATGTACCAGATAACCATATAAATGGATAATTGGGATTTTTCAGCCAACAAAGGTTCAAATTTCAGAGGAAAAATGAGAGACAAATATGGATAACACAAATATTAAGACTTATGTCAGACTTCACATTATAATAGTTCTACTTTTTACTCATAATCTATCATCTATTTCGTGTTAGTTTCCCAGTTGCTTTCTTGATCATAACTTCAAGTATGTTTAAGAATGCAAAAAGTAGTAAGTAGTACGAATGCCTTTTTTTCCATTATTACTAGTTTATTTCGAGATGTTTTCTCTCAAACTACAACCAATTTACTTAACAGTCTCCACTCCTCCAGTTTAACCAGCAAATGGCTACTGCCTACTGTTAAGTTTTTTAAATAAACTACATGGCTATCGACTTATACGGTATCCATCAAGAAAACTATATGAATGGGGGAAATTAAATCATCAGTCGCTCAAATTTAAAGCTAAATTTCAGGCCGGTCATTAAAGATCCATTTATTTCATTGATACCAGGCTTTTTCACTCGAGAAACCAAATATAATCACATTAAGATTTAAGAGCAGTCCTACTAGAATAATACAAATCAATAGGGTTTCGTTTAGTATTGGGAAGGTGGGTTTTGAACCTAAGACTATGCCAAAACTCATATACGGTAATTGAACTGGGCATAGCTTGTGAGTGCAATGAAATGTCATGTTGAGAATTTGCTTAGACATACTAAGTTTGGTTGAAATATTGAAAATATTTTTTCCCTTTTTCCTTTTTTTTTTTTTATTTTATTATTATAGAGAACACTTCCCTACACTTCAAATAATAGCCAATTTTCAAGATAGGTTCACCTGTACTACAACGAAAAACATCAATGGATAACAAAAGTCAAAACAAATTATTCAGCTATCAGCCTCGTGAATAAATTCCATCCATTTCTCTGAATTACTAAGAATTACAAGAAAAGAAGTTGAACAGTGTTTGGTTCCCAAGAAAATTTTTAAGATGAAAAAGAAAGCAGTAGGGAAATTCAAAATCAAATTACTTTATTTTCCAAGGTTACTTCTAATAAATCAATTCAATTCCATGAACACCAAAGCTAGTGTTAGGCTTAAAAATTCATTTTCTCCCTCTTTTTTAACCGTATTTCTCAACAGCCAAACACCACAAACTCACTCAGAGCCCCAATTTCCCAATTTCCGTATTAAATAAGCAGAGAATTCAAAACAATCAACAGAAACTCATCAATAAATCCATAACTCACTCCAAAAAAAAATTTAATTAATTACAGGAAACAACCATCTGAATTTACGGAAGTAGCAAAAAGAAACCAAACCTTCATTTATGAGCTGGAGTGGAGAAAACTTCAGGATAGGGATAATCAGGTGCTCTCGCTTCCATGTGAAACTGATTGAATTTTGACTCTGAATCAGGGCCGTAGATCACGCCGGTCTCGGGATCCAAGCCGGCGCGTGAAATGTTTGAGTAAGTTTTTCTTGTTAGTGAGAGAGTAGAAGTTTAGGTGAGTTGGAGAATTTAAGGTTACCGAATAGTTTTTATTTAAAAAAAAAAAAAAAAAATCAGAGAGTGGCGAAAGGAGAAGAAGAGCTGGGGAAAATGATTGAATGCGATGAGGTAACAGTTGAGAATTTGTGCTCTCTGTTGTTTGGTTTTGATTGGGGTGTACAAAAAAGTTGCGTGCATTTTTCCTGTTGTTCATCTTTCATATCAGCCGTTGGATTGGGAATCAGTACCCAATCAAGTTGCGGGTTAAAGGCCACGAGTTCGGAATATGGGTTTCTCGTTTTTGGTAAAATCCATTTTGATTCCAAGGTGGCTTTGTATCACCGTAGCAGGGGGCCTGGTAAACTAAATTTATTTATTTTGATAGTTTCTGCACATTAAATTTATTGAGTAAAAATAACTGTTTTACTAACTTTATCTGTAGTTTTTCGTATAATATTAAAAATTAAATATTATATATATTATTTTTCATAAAACACTATATTAATTTCTAAAAACTAGTTTAAATATTATGTTATCGATCGAGCGTTTTGACTAAAAACTACTTGAACAGTTATTGTTGCCGAAACAACCTACCTAGCTGTTTTTAGTTGTTGTAGCGGTTGTTATTTGTTCGACAATATTAGCTGTCAGTAGTTATTAGATGTTAGGTATTATTTCCTCCGTTTCAAAATATAAGTTTTTTTTTATATTTATTTTGTCGCAAAATATAAGTCATTTTGAGTATTGCAAAAAAGTAATAAATGATGTTTTTCTAATATTACCCTTATTTATTTTTAAATACAATCACTACCTTCATAAAATAACTCTTAGTTTGAGATAAGAGATAATTTAGTCAAATTATGCTTAATTTTGTTATAATTTAGGAGAATTAATTGCTTTTTTGGTCTATATGCAAAAACCTTTAAAAACTTATATTTTGGGACAATAAAAGATTTATATTTTGGGACAAATAGACTAGTTTTTAGTTAATAGTTATTCATATATAGCTGTTAGAATGCTATTATAAATATACCAACAACATAATTAATAAAATAATTGCTCGGGACGCTAAAAGCTAGCCAAAATGTAAAAGTGATCAAACTTCAGTTTTAACTCAATAAAATCAAATTCAACCCATATTATTTAGTTTGATTCGTTCCGATTATTTATTAAAATCAATTTGGTTTGATTAATTAAAAATCAAAATTTGAATTTTCAATTTTAATTCAATTTTCTGTAAAAAAAAAACCCAATAGATCAAAATCATAAAATTTTTGGTTTGAATCAATTTGATTGTATTTTGATTTATTTTATTTTATTTTCCAGCTAAATTGATTCTTTCAGCAAGGTAATCATTTTGAATTTGGTTATTTAAATTTGGTTCGATTATCTATAAATAAATTAGAATATTTAGTTTTATTTCGGTCCATTATTTCAGCTAGAGAAAATTTAATTTGATTTGATTTGATTGAATTGAATACTCTCTTTTTTTTTGTTATAATAAATAATTAATTAACATTTTCAGATTGATTTTTATTTGTCAGTTATAATTTATAAGCAACCTATTAAATTTAAGATTATATTGGAATAAATAAATAATATTAATTTAAAAGAATATAATATATTATTTCTAATTAGTATATCTAAACACGCCCAACCCCTGCTCCTTATTCCCCCAGGTTTTAACAACTCATTGGTAATTGAACGTCAAATAACAGTTTCACGACCAAACATGCCTTATTACTACCTTAATTTAATAATTTTACCACTTTTTAACTTTTTTGACAATAATTAAAAAAATATTGAATCATCTCAATAAATATATAAGTGTAATTCAATCCAAAAAATAAATAAGTGTAATTGACTAAATATCCTCTTATTAAATTCTGTAATTAAAAAAAAATGAAAATAAAATAATTATTTTTATCTTAATTTTGTAAATTTGTTATATAAATATAAAAAAGGTAAAAAAAAAAATGTCAAAATTAACCAACAGATGTAGTATTTACTTATTTCCATAGAGACTTCATCACAGCCCATGGATTTAATCAAAATTTAGCATGGAAGGGAATTATATTTAGTAAAAAAATAAATGGTCCCTAAATTATAGTTAAGTTAATATACGGAGATTTAATTTTTAAAAATTAAATATAAAATTCTTAAATTATAATTTTATTAACCCTCTATCAATTATGACCTCTTTTGTTTCTTGCTTATTTCATCAATTTTAAAATATCGATGTAGTTCGTATAGGGCTCTTCTACTGGAGCTTTGAGAGAAAATCAAAGGATCTAGACAAACCGTGTAAGGTTCACTTGCTGCCTTGAGGAATGAATTGTAACGGAAATACGATGCAACCTCAATTTTCATTTTAATTTATTAAATATTTTAATTTATAAAATTATATTTATTAAAAATTTGCTCTTCTAACCTGGAGGCACTTTGAGAGAAAATTCAATAGGATGTAGAACAAACGGTGGTAAGGGATATTACACATTTGCTTGCCCTTGAGGAATGAATTGGTACGAAGGAATAGATTTACGAAATATGCAACCTCAATTATCATTTTTTGAATTTTTTATTAAATAATATTTAATTTTATAGAAATTATATTTAATTTTAAAAATTTTAATTTGATTTTATTTCACATCTCAATTTCTAAAATTAGATTATTTAATATTTTTTATTTGATAGGCTGCAGTAATGTAAATGTTAATTATGTGGTGTGTGTGTGCCGTAATCATGATACTCAAACGATAACCATATTAATATCAATATAATCAAACGCACGATATGAATATATCTTAAGAATTTTTTTTAAAAAAATTGAATTAATGGTAGTAGATACTATTAGAAAAAAATAAATTCATGGCATCTCACAGAATTTCCCAATTTTAAAGTTTAAAAGTGCGCAATTTTTTTTTTTGTTTTTTTTGTTTGCAAATCCTATTATATTTACATTTCTTGTCCCATTCTGTCTTATTGTGCAGTATTATATTTATTAAAAATTTTAATTGATTTATTTCACATCTCAATTTCTAAAATTAGATTATTTAAATATTTATTTGATAGCTGAATAATGTAAAAATTATTATTTTAAAAATTATACTAATCATATATCAAATACATATAATATCATATATCAAACACATATAATATTTAAAATTTTTAAAAATTATTATTGCTAGACTATTAAAAAAATAAAATTCAAGATCTCACAAATCCAATTTTAAAGTTTAAAGTGACAATTTTTTTTTTTTTTTTTTGCAATCAATAATTTACATATTCCTTCCCTTCTGTCTTATTTGCAATTTGCAATTTACTATTTTCAGCCGTCCACCTACGCGTGTACCGTTATCTTTGAAGGGGCAAAAATAAATTAGGCCTTAATTAAATTAGTTCATGAATATTTTCTATTTCTTAAAAAAAATAATTATAAAATTTTTAAATTATAATTTTATTAAGATTTTAATCTTTCCATCAAAAACGTGAAACTGTTACGGAAATTATACATTACAGAACGCGTTTGATTATAATTTTAGGAATTAATTTTTAAATTTACAATTAAAAGAGGCTTTTTTTTTAACTGTTAATAAAATTATAAGTTAAGATACTTTATTTGAAAAATAAAAATTGGGACGAATTTTAATTTTTCCCCTCTTTCAATTCTTTCTAGTATCTCTCTCTCTCTCTCTCTATATACATATATCTTTTCTAGTGTCTTCATAATCCAAGCCAATACTGTAACTGCCCCGTCGCAACCGCCACCACGAGAGGCAGCGGAACCCTAACCCCAAACCATAAGTTTACTTTATCTTGACAGAGAAGCTCTAGTTACTAAATTTCTTTCAATCTCACCTTCTGTCCAAAACCTTAATCCTAATCCGCCATGCTTTTGTCTCCAGGACACTCACCACGGCAGCTCTCATCCCCATCTCCGTCTCATAATCCCGAAAATTCTCTCCAAACCTCTAATAAATCCTCGATCACTACACCTGCAAACCCAAGAAAACATACTAAAGTCCTTGATGAGGACACATACGTTGAAGCTATCGAGAAAATCATCGAAAGAGACTTCTTTCCCGATATCTCCAAACTCCGTGACCGTCTCGATTGGCTTGAAGCAGTAAAATCCGGCGATCCGGTTCTGATACGAGATGCCCAATTGAAGATCATCGAGCGGCGTGGCAAAAGAGTAAATATTTCCAACGCGGATGGCAGTACTCAAACCAGAAACCGAACGCAAACCCCAGGTTCTACTTTTATGGGTAATTTCACTCCTTTTGATGAATTTGATAATAAAACACCTAGCGCTGTAAATAGGGAATTTTTTGGTGATGCTGAGTCTAGGGAGAATGATAGTGCTATTGATGATTCGTTGAGTTTAGATGAGTTCTTTAGGAGGTATACGAGCGAGGATAATGAGAGTTTTTCAAAGATACTGGAGAAAGTGAATAGGAAGAGAAAGGAGAGATATGGGCATTTGTTAGAAGGTGAAAAGGAGGATGTTAAACTGATTGGGGATGTGAAAAGGGATAGGATTACAGATGGTTATGGGACATCTTATCAGCCACCGAGCACACTGGAGGGGTGGAATTACACTGCTAAGAACTTGTTAATGTACCATCCTGCGGATAGGGGTGAGGCTCCTTTGACCGAAGAGGAACGGGCTGTTAGATTGAAGGGTTTAACGAAAGAAATTAATAGGTCAAACACACGGTTTCATGGTAAAATATTGGACTCTAGGCCTACAGATGATGGTGCCGTTGAAGTGCTTTACACTCCAGTAGTAGGGGCTACCCCCCTTCCTGTATCTGACAGAGATGGGGATAGAGCAAAGAAGTATGATTTGGAGGATTTGAGGAAGACACCAAACAGGTTTTATGTGGAATCAGGGAAGAAAGCAGAAAATGGATATAGTTTTGTTAGGACTCCTTCACCGGCTCCAGGAGTTGATGAATCACCATTTATTACATGGGGTGAGATTGAGGGGACACCATTGAGATTGGAGCCTGAAGACACACCGATTGATATTGGTGGTAATGGCGATGGGCCTCATTTTAAAATGCCAAATCCACCTGCAAGGGATGTGAAGGCTCATTCTTTATCCAGGGAGGCTGCACGAAAGATTAGGGAGAGATCAAAGATGTTTCAAAAGCCACCATTGCCTTCTCCCGGAAGGGGGGGGAGTGCGAGTCCAAGTGTGCGCACACTTTCACCTGCTGCACAGAAGTTTATGAGGAATGCAATTTCTAAGTCTTCATCTTCTGTCGATGAATCTCTTCGTGCTAGTTATAGAGGTGCAAGCCCCGGTGTTGCTACTCCAAAGAGCATAAGGAGTGTCTCAAGGTTTGAAAGAGATGGAACCATGAGTTCCAGGTCACCGTCTGTAAGAGAGGATTAATCCCCTAGTAAAAAAATGTACTTTTCATGCCAATGTTAGCAATTGGTGGTTTTAGTAGTATATGTTTACGATCAACTAATAGTTTCTTTCAAGGATGCATGTATGATTTCACTGTTCCCCTTTTGTATTGTTTATATGATGGGCAAGCCTATTCCAAATATTGGATCATAAAGAGTTGCTAATGTTTAAGAGGAGCATCCGATTGATGCTTAATATTTTCATCTCTCACTCTTCTACTTTGTAATTATGATTTCCAGAATTGCTTTGTAATGTTGGTGAAAGCTATTTGTCAAACATTGATGCTTGGAATTCTGAGCTTTTGCTAGGTAGAACTAAATTCTGGATATACATGACATTTTAGGACTCTTTTGTATGAAACTAGATTTCACAAGTATATTAGAGGATTAGCAAATTGACTATATTTAGGTGATTTGAAGTTCTATTCTGAGTTGATGGAAACTGCAAATTGCATGTGTGGTCCATTTCTGAGAATTTTAGACTGACTGATATCTATTTTCGTTCTTGGTTTTGTGTGATTCTGGATCATATATCTACTATCTTAGTTTTTTTTTTTTTTTTTTATTGCATGTGTGGTACCAATTTTCTGAGATTTTAGATAGGGACTGATAGTCATATTTGTTTCTTTAGGTTTTTTTTGGTGTGATTCTGGGATTATATTCTATATCTTGTTTTTTTTTTTTTTCTGTTTTAACCTGTTTAATGCTCTTTTGTAACACTAGTTCTCTTGCTAGTTTTAGTGACATTTTGAAGTAGAATTGCAATGAAGATTCTTGTTTAGATTAGGGAAAGTAATGGTATCATGTGAACCTCTTGTATTTGATGCGAGCGCGCAATTGAAGATCACTCAAACACCAATAAAATAGAAGTTCAACTTTTCTTGTTGCAAGGATATGTGCCAGTGGTACTGGCTCGAGCGGGTGTTAGCATGGCATAAAAGCCAACTACTTTTAATGTCGTAAGTTAGGGTATGTGTGGATAGTTTGACTTGCTTTGCTTGTCAAATATTTCGAGTCCTAGAGATTTATCATGCCACTGCATTTGTAGAGTGGAGATTCTTCGTTTTAGTTGATCGCTAACTTTTTTTTTTTTTTTTTCTGTTATTACCTGTTTAATGCTCTTTTGTAACACTAGTTCTCTTCTAGTTTTAGTGACATTTTGAAGTAGATTGCAATGAAATTCTTGTTTTAAGATTGGAAGTAATGTTCATACCTTTTATTGAGCGACGCATTGAAGATCCTAAAACACCAATAAATAGAAGTTCAACTTCTTGTTCCAATATGTCCCTTACTGCTGCTTTAGCATGGCATAAAACAACCTACTTTTTAATTCTAAAGTTAGGGTATGTGTGGCATAGTTTGACTTGCTTGCTGTCAAATATTCGACTAGATTTATCATCACTGCATTTGTAGAGTGGAGATTCTCGTTTTAGTTGATCCAAGCAATTTGAGGACATTTAATCAAACCAATGCACATTAAGAGCATAGTAAACTGAATTTTATTACTGAGGCATGTATGTATGGAAATTTAGGAAATTGCAGGAAGAAGCCATGTCTTCCTGAAGGCCCTGAAGAAGTGGTCAAAACAGGTAATTGAAGGGTATCGACATTCTTATGGCCCATGCATCATTCACAAAGATCTGAATTGCAGTAACATTCTTGTCAATGGGAATATTGGTCAGGTGATTAAAATTGACTTTGCTTTGACTACTTTACGAGTTAAACTTAGATTTTGGTGGTGTTCCTTTTTTTATCAGTTCATGCTTGTTTAGTTTGATTGAGTTAGTCTATCTCAATTAGTGACATTATGCTTTGACTGTATATTTGGTTATCAGATCTTAATTTCCAGCAGAACCACACAAATAATAGCTATTTGTGGCAAGGATTAGCCTTTAGACTTCAGTTTGTTTTGCCTGAAGACAGATCTGGTTCAGAGTTGTCTTTGCTGTAGGTTGAGGAAGGATGATTTTAGGAATAACTCTGCGATTGGTTATGCTTTGTCCTTCTAGCCAACGGCTTGAAAGCAGCATGTTAGACACCAGAGTGGGAATCCACTTACCATTCTCTCAAGTTAAGATGGTCTATGATTGCTGAAGACATCAACTTTCTCTTGCACTCCTGTTTTAGAGTTATTCTTATGCTGGTCTTTAACTTGAACAAAATGAAAATAAACAAATTGAATGTATGAATTTAAGAAAAATGAAAATAAACAAATTGAATCTCTCTCTCTCTTCCCCCTCTCTCCCCTTCATCTCTTCATTTAAGAACGATGTCCTTTTGGAAAACTGTACACCTGCTCAAACTGTCGTTGGGTATAAATATCACCATTTTCTGTGATAGTTTCTCCTCTGGCTTCCAGTCTTTCTCTGTCATCTGCGTTTTATTCCTCTGCCAAACTCTCTTCTTCCCTGATCATTGTAATAACACAAATCTCTCTACTGTATTTGCTGCTTCTTAAAACTCTTCAACTTAATAATCTCAAAGTAAATGATGCCTTCAGAGGATATGTGAAATGGTTTTTGTTTAATTTGTAGATTTGGGCTGATATTTAATTTGATAACCTTATATATGGATTGAGTTGTGATTGGAGCTTCAATTTCAGCTCCCTTTAATTTGATATTCCAAATTGTTTTTCCTTTCATTTTATGTTTCAATTTGAAAATTGAATCTGATACTTGAAACTTTTGTATGTCTTTGAATTTCTATATAATAAATACTATAGTGATTATAGTTATATTTTTAATTAGGTTGTTTTTTTCTTTTTTCTTTTTTTTTTTTGAGTTTTTGATGAAGTTGAGATTCTGCTACTGTGTAGTTTGGACCTTTTGTTTTCAAAAAATTTTATGTGACATTTGATACTTGAAACCTGATTGATTTGATGAGTTAGGTTTTAAATTTTGGGGCTTTGATTTTATCTATATAATTGTTAAATTTTGCCAGTTCTGCTATTTTTTTCCCTGTCCTGTTTGATTTCTGTTACATCTATATTAGTGTTGTTAATTCTTAACTTTCCATTTGATTTAAATTTTTACATTAGCCTCTTGAGAAGTACTACTTATCTATGAATTTTGCTTCAATGACAATAAGAAATAGTTTTTAAGCAAGCATTGCTTTTGCTTCCAGAAAAGCAAAATATGAGCCTTCTCTTTTACATTTTGTTCCTCTGTGTTTAAATTTAAACTGTATGTGTTGGTTTTGCAACTTGAATGAATAGATGGTACACTAAATGCTAGAACGTAGCAAGTGTGCTTTTTTTTTTTTTAATCATGTTTTGGCTTGATTTGGATTTGGTCATTCTTGAGGATTAAATTTGTCTCATAAGTTTTGAAGTAAAAAAATAATTTTAAATTCTGAATGCAAAAAAAACATTTTGCAGATTGGTCATTGGTTGGGATGATTACTGTGGTAACCATACTTAGGACTCTTCTTGACAATGAGTTTTTAGTTTTTGAATTGGAATAGAAAGGTTAACGCATTCCAGATTTTTATTTCTGATGCACCTGATTTACTTTGTTGCCGTGATAGCGAAAATCATTACCGTCATTAGACCTCATTAGATCTTTTATGTTTGTCATTGCATTTGGTTTTACCAATTTGATTCTAGGATGGAGTTATGCTTGAATATAACTAGAGAGATTTATTTTGGATTTATGCACATATAGAATATATATTACTCTAGCAGCAGGCGTTGTTCTGTGTATGGATTTTGTTGTTCTTTGAAGATTCTGTGATTCTTTTAAGGTTTTCTCATTGTCTTATACTAGAAGATGTCGGCTGTAAGGTACAATACAGCTTATAAAGGTGGTGAACCGTTTGTTGAAGTTGATCCTACTGGAAGGTTTGGGTGGATGATTTGCTTGGTGCTGGTGCTGTGAAGAAGGTTTAGAGGGGCCATGTTATCGAGAGGAAGGTATCGAGGTGGCTTGGTATCAGGTACGTTTGAGGAATTTTAAAAGATCCAATACTCATCAACAGGCTCCAGTCAGAAGTCAAGTCATTGAAATCATTAAGGATCAAGTATATCATTGTTTGCTACACTGAATTTTGTCACTCAAGTTTGCACGTCTGGAAATTTAAGAAACTACAGGAAGAAGCATCTCCATGTCTCCCTGAAGGCCTGAAAATTTGTAGTAGTGGTCAAAGCAGGTGCTTGAGGAGTTAGAGTCTGTCGATATGAATGACCCATGCTTATTCACAGTGATCTGAAATGCAGAAACACTTCGTCAGTAGGAATATCTGTCAGGTAATTAAAATTTACATTGCTTTGACTGCTTTTTGAGTTAAAGCTACAAAGATTACGATGTTCTTCTTTTTTTATCAATTCATGTTTATAATTTGATTGAGTTAGTCTATCTCAATTAATGATATCATATCTTAATTTCCAGCAGAACCACATAAATAATAGTTATTTGTGGGAAGGATTAGCTTCTAGGCTTCAGTTTGTTTTGCCAGAAAACAGATAGAGTTGGAAATAGAACTTCTCATTAATCATTTTGTTGATCTTTTTCCTTTTCTTTGGTTACCTTCTAAATATGATTTCATAGACTCGAAGCACTTTAAGTTTTCCATGTAAGCACTGTAATATTAATAACTTCTATCACTGTAACATTCATTTTCTTTTGTCTAATTTCAGCAAGATTAACTGACTCTTGTCCTCATTTCTTTTAATTATTGTTTTTATTCATTCTCATTGAAGTCAGTAAATTAACCTTCCTAATTATTAGATATATATATATATATTTACTTAAGGCTAATCCTATAAATTCACTTTTGTATATGCAAATAATTTTGTGACGCTTTCAACTTTTAATTTGACCATTTTGAATACTTAGAACTTATAAAATTGCATCTATTGAACATTTTAACTTTTACAAAATTTTTTTATTACCTTAGGATAAATCAGACTTATTTTCGCTCTTTGTTTAAGTGATGAATTAAAATTTAGAAATGCTAAAATGGTAGGTTATAATTTATCAATGTTTAGAAATAATAAGTTTATGCATTAGGCATTATACTTGATGATATATTGAAATTGGATTGAGGTTTCAAGTTCAATAGCTGGACAATTAATTTTTTTAATTATTCGGCATATTTCACTTAACAATAAATGATAGTAGGGTGAGGTGAGATGACGAAGATTTCTTTTTCCTTAATTAGAATTTTTGAGTTTGAGCCCTTGGTATAGATCTCCTTTAAATATGGCCAGTGAATTTTCGGACACCGAAAA